GTTCTGAGGAAGGGTCACCGGACCTGAAACGTTAACTGATTTTTTTCTTCACAGATGCTGCCAGACCTGCTGAGCTTTTCCAGCAACTTCTGTTTTAGTTCCTGATTTACAGCATCCGCAGTTCTTTCAGTTTTTAGAAAATTCAGACATTGTGCTCGTTCTATTTTCTCATGCAAATTAGAAGAGGAGAAATCTCAGCACTGTGTGTCTGTCAAGTCTCTAGAGTTTAGACACAAGGAACACGGAAACAGCGCTCTATATAATATTGTTTTGAGTTCAACTTGAAATGAGTCAACCTTAAAATTAAGGCAAAATGGACTAAATTTACTGGGTTGCAGGCTGACAGATAGCGTGTAGGTTTCTGCTAGTATTGAAAGCAGTTTCCTGGAGATTTTGAAAGATAATTAGATTTTGCAGTGTGTTCGTCACTCAGTCTTGTAATTTAGTGCAGAAACTTGGGCCACATCAAGTAGAAAGTAACAGTGACTGGATACCAATGAGATGTGAATGCAGAGATAGATATTTGGAATAACAAGAAAGGACATGATCAGGAACCAACACTTCAAAAGGTCAGTGAAGATTGTGGAGAGTATTAAAGAAGTTAGCCAAAAAGACATTGAAATGGTATGGTCATCTTTTGTGAAAGGAGAGATAGAGCATGAGGGAGAGAGAGAATGTGATGAGCTGAGTTGGGAGATCGGACACAGGAAAAAGTAGAGGAAGGCCTAAGACTGGGTGCAAAGATGTGGTGACATGAATTTTAAAAGCATCGGGATTGGAAGAGGAATGGATGACTGACAGGAGGAGATGGAGAATGGTGATCAATCAGTATTGTGTCAGCCCCAAGTAAAATGGTTGGGAGGGAAGAGAGGGAGTAAAAGAGGAGGGGAGGGAGAAGACAACTTCTCATTAATGTTGTAGCAGACTTAAAAGGAGGGAGAGATAGGATTTCTGTGCCATTTTGGCTGTGAGAAGCATCTGAACAGTTCGAGGGAAATCACTGAAGGCTTATGTTGAGACACTGTGATTAAGGCTGTAAAAGTTAGAAGTTAGTAGTTAGAAGATTTAGGTCTGAGTTTCAATGTAGGCAATTGGTGGAAATTATGATTAATTGTGTCGCTGAGACCTGGCGTTGCTTCTTTACGCTGACTTGAATTTCCCTTCTGTGTGCTGATTCCAGTCAATTTCACTTCCTTCCCTGCCTTCCTGCTACTCACTGGGATTGTCTGACCAGAGACCCAGTAAAATAATAATAAAGCCCCAAATAGCAAGAAAGTGAGAGGAAACCCTGAAGGCCTAAAGGACTGCAACTCCGTCCTTTGCTGTTATTTTTTGTCCATTTAAAGTGTCCTAATTGCTTCTACAGGCCTTGATACAGAGTTTCTTCTTTAAGCCCACCTTATTCTGCTCAGTTGGTGTTTAGTTTCATTTAGCTGATGGGATCCAGCTGGGACCATGCCTTGTACATCTAATGTCATTCAACCAAGAAAGTAGTTGGGGTTGAGATTGGAAGAACTGTTAGAAGCTTCATAAGGAAAATATATAACCCCCCCACCCCCTCCCACCTTGATAAAGAAAAGCTAATTACAGACTGGAATCAGGAGAGATAATGGAACTACACCAAAGAAACAAAGTAAACTTATCACCATTCCTTTGTATTACTAACTAGCTTTAGAATAAAGTACCTTAACAGTTTGAAATAAGCTTTGCCTTATGTTAATTTAAGAGGCATTGAGGAAATATATCTGTGAAAAGCACAAAAATTTGATTCAGACAAGGGAATGTTGTTGTTACACATCAAGGTCTATGCTCCCATATAAGTAGACATTGGGCAACGTCAGTCAAACGGCATAACAACAATAAGGCACCAAGACCATTTAGGACTCGCTTTACTAAACCAAAGAAGACATGTGAACTCTAGATCTGAATTTATCACTGTGCCTTAAGTCCCAAATTGTAGGTATTGAATGATAGGTAGCTCTGTGCAGCAGCAAAATCATAATAATAGAAATCATGGAATGTTAAAGAATTGGAACACAATAACAGGAGTGAAATTACTTTATAAAATGTGGATTTTGAGATTTTATGGCCCAATGCCATCTGAACCACTTAAGTATATAATCCCATGTTCATCAGAAAAATCATAATGCAAGCTTCTTAATTCTATTTATATTGATTAATCTCATGCAGTACCATAACTAGGCTGCAAAAAGCAGTATATAAATCTGTAGGGAAAATAACAGAAGGAACATACATTTTACATTTGGTGCTATGGAGATAAATAATAAATATTAAAAACTTTGATACTGTTGGCAACTAATGCAATGCATGCTGAAGAGACATTAAAAATAATGCATTATACATTACTTAAAATCAATGTAACTGTGATAGTGCATTACTGACAACTGTGGTACAGTTTCCATTCGGAATGTCTAATGTAAAAACTACATTGAAAATGTCAGTAATCTTCTCCCATAAGTGCTTTATTTCTGTTTGGGAAGTGTTTGAAAGGCTGTGAATTGCATAATTTATTTTTTGATGCTCCCTATGTACAAAATTGTTCAAAACAAAAAAAGCCTTAGAAGCTGTTGATTTTCAACACCATGGGTTCAACTTTCCCTCTTTGATTTTGAGTGCTCTGAAACATTTGTGTAATAAATTTCTTCCTGTCCTACTTCAATTAAATTGTTAACATATTTTAAAGATAAATACATCAATAATACATAAATGTACAGGCCACTGAACAAATCAAAAAAAATAATCACACAGAGATAGCTAACTCCCCATAAAAAGAATATTCATAACCTTGAAGATATTTATATCTTTTGTAAATAAAAAATAAAATCAAGGAAGGAGAAATTATTAATTAGTTAGATAAAGAATATGCTATAGTTATGACATTTGCTACTTAAATCTTATCATCTTCCTCAATGATGGCATCAGACATTTCCTGACACAGATTCCAGTATACTGCTTATTTAACAAATTAAACACTATATTCAGAAACTTGAGTAGATTTAAGAATTAGTACTTGCAGCAAACAACAGAAATTAGGCACATGTTGGGCTCAAATTCTTTATGCGCTCTCCCATGCATGAATCTTTGCGAAAAAGCCCCTTCCTCATACTTTTCAGCATTGTATCATTTTTGAGAACCAACAGCACCTGGGCATGGGACAGTACAAGCTGCTTGTAGAACGATCTGCTTGTCTCCATTCACCACAGGTTCTACATCGGCACATAACTCGTCATCCACAATCTTGCCAGGATCATCGCTGGATCCATCGAAAACAACACATGATATGTTACGGAATTTCATGCCATCACCACAATGAGCATCCTTCAACAAGAGAAATAAATAATTGTGATTTCACTGAAATTCTTTATAATACCAGTAAAAAGATACATTGATGGAAACACTTATAGAGTAAGAGTGTTAAATTTTGAGAGGATGAGTATGGAACGGACATAAACCCTGAATGATAAAACTTTTAAAACAGTATAGGAATAAAGAAGCTCAGCAGTTCATTTACACATTTCTTCAAAAATGCTGCTTACAAGTTGATATATATATATACACATAACTGCATCCTGTTTTATACGTAGATGTAAAGTGTAAAATATCAAATGGATAAATCTGAATAAATAAAAGTCACTGATTAGTCCATGTTATTATAACCAGTTTCAGCATGAGCCTTCGGGAAAATATCAAGGCCATGGAGAGTGAAGAAGAGATTTAGTAATAATGATATTAAGGATGAAAGGCTTTACTGTAGAGGCCTTCGATATCTTTCCTTTTCCTCATTTTTTTTTGATTTGGAATTGGGTTGAGATGAAGAATTGAACTTTGAACAGAAGCTTGTTTTAAAGGAGAAGTATTTGCTGTTGGGAGCTGGCCTTGAAGATAATACAACTTAATTATTGTTCTAAGGATATGTTAGAGGAATGCCTGCTCAATGGTATGCTCTGAACTGGCAGCTGGTTGGATGTTGAATTGGTCAATCAAGGGCAGACCGGTGCTAATAAGCCAACCACAGAATGTCGATTAGAGAGAAAAAAGAAAAACAGGTCTTACTGGGTTTTGGCAAGAGAGTGATTTTTGTAAACTCTGGAGTCTGCCATTGTTTTTTCCTCTCTCTCTTTCTGTCTCTCAAGATTTCTATTGAGTTATCAAGCTGTTGCATGTTCTGAGAAAAGAATCCAGTCTGTAAGAAATGGGTGAATTTTCTAGAAGTCTGCTGAAGCTGTTTGTCCTGACCACTGACTTTGGACCTGAAGCAAGTTATTCTGTTCTACTTGCCTGTGAACAAACCATTCGTAAAGGATTTCATGCAGGCCTGGTATCCATCATTTGAAAGAGTTTATTGAACAGAAAATAACAATTATTTTATTTTCTTTTAACAGTGTCAATCTGTCTATATGAATGAGGTTTATGATCAAAGACAATTGAGCTTTAGATCATAGATATTAATGAGGTGACCTTGTTGTTTATCTATGTTACATTATTAATATTAAATTGTTAATTTTTGTTTAAAATGTAAACTTGGTGTCCAAGATCTGTTACTCGCTAAGTCTGGTTAGGAACAATTTGGCAATTTTGATGGTCATTGAATGTTTTAATTTCAGTGTGTTGCAAACCCAGTAATAATGAAGCTGATTTGATTTGGCTTCCTATCCCTGTGTCACAAGATTAGTTATGAGGACTTATGGTAGAAATTAGGCTTCATTATTAGAACGTAGGTTAAAAGGATGTCTAATTGTGTTCAAAATTATGATTGAAAACAACAAATGTTGGAGGTCACAGCGGGTCAGACAGCAGCCATGGAGAAAGAGCAAGCTAACATTTCTAGTCTAGATGACTCTTCATCAGAGCTCAAAATTATGAATTGTTTTGATAAGTTAAAAATGAGATATAACGTGGATTAATGAACCCTGATCCCCACTCAAGTAGGAGATGGAGGTTGGAAGGTGTTTAAAATAGAGGCAGCAGATTGTGTGCTAGATTCCTCGCTCTGATATGCCCCATGGCATTTTTCCTGGTGGCTGGCAGTTGACTCACTGAATCAAGGGCCATTTGAGGCAAATTGAAGGAGGCTAACTCAGATTTTCTAAACCACCTCCTGGTTTGTCAGGGTACTGAGGCCAAATCAGCTGGAGGCTGCTCACCAAGTTTAGATGGGCAGTTGCGTGGGTGGTGTTCGGGAGTTAATGATTCACCTGGGTTTAGAGCCCTTTCCTGGCAGTCCAGGTGCAGACGTTGCCATTGGCCACTTTGTTGAAAGGTGTTTTCCAAATAATTCATGGAATGTGCATTTTGTTCGCTGAGCCAGCAGTTCATGCACATTTCTAACTGCTATTGAAAAGGTGGTGGTGTGCTGCCCCATAAATTGTTGCAGCCCATCTGGCACAGGACACTCATAGCGCTGTTTGGGAGGGAGTTCCAGCATTTTGAGAAGGATGGTTGATAATGCATTTCGTAAACAGGATAGCATATAGCTTGGATGGGAGCTTTCAGGTGGTGGTGTTCCAATGTATCTACTGCTCTTGTCATAGAATCATACAGCACGGAAACAGACCCTTTGGTCCAACTAGTCTACGCTGACCATATTTCCAAACTAAACTAGTCCCACTTGCCTTCATATCGCCCATATCCCTCCAAACTTTTTCTATTCATGAATTTATCCAAATGCCTTTTAAATGTTGTAACTGCATCTGCATACACCACTTCCTCTAACAGCTCATTCCACACACAAACCACTCTGTGTAAAAAAGTTATACCTCATCTCCTTTTTAAATCTTTCTCCTCTCACCTTAAAAATATGCGCCCTTGTTTTGAACTTACCCACTCTAGGGAAAAGACCCTTCCTATTCACCTTATCCATGCCCCTTCTGATTGCATAAACGTCTATAAAGACACCCCTCAATGTCTTACTAGTGAAAAAAGTACCAGGCTATCTTTATAACTCAAACCTTCTATTTCTGGCAAAATGCTGGTAAATCTTTTCTGAACCATTTCCAATATAATAATATTCTTCCTTTAGTAGGGTGACCAGAACCGTATACAGTACTCCAGAAGAGGCCTCACTAATGTCCTGTACAACTTCAACATGACACCCCAACTCCAACATTCTGAGCAATGAAGGCAAGTGTACTAAATGCCTTCTTAACCACCCTATCTACATGTGATACAAATTTCAAAGAATTATGAACCTGAAACGCTTGGTCTCTCTGTTCTACAACATTAAGCAGGGCCCTACCAATAATCGTATAAGTCCTGCCTTTGTTTGTTTTACAAAAATGCAATACTTCGCATTTATCCAAATTAAACTGCATCTGCCACTCCTCAGCCCATTGACCAAATTGATCAAGATCTAATTACAATCTTAGATAACCTTCTTCACTGCCCACTATATCACCAATTTTGGCGTCCACAAATTTATTAACCATGTCTCTGAGATTCTCACCAAAGTTGTTTATATATATGACAAACAAAAATGGACCCTGTACTGTTCCCTGTGGAACACTGCTGGTGAGAGGTCTCTAGTCTGAAAAACAACACTCCATTACCACCCTCTTGTCTCATGCTGTCATTCCAGGTGGTGGAAATCTTGGGCTTAGAAGGTGCTGTCTAAGCAGCCATTCTGAGTTGCTTCAGTGCACCTTATAGATGGTTCACACTGGTGTCACTGGGCAATGCTGATGGAGGGGTGATATATAGGTGCCCACTGCTTTGCTAGTCACCTGATAACACACTTGGCGTTAAAGGCATTTACTTTCACCCCACCTCTGGAGTTAAGCTCTCTTTTATCAATGTTTGGGCCAAGGCTGAAATGAAGTCATGGGTTCAGCAGCTTTGGTGGACCCCAGATTGAGTGCCAGTGAGCAGGTTATTAGTAGCACTGCCAGTGATTCCTTCTATTATTTTGCTGATCATTGAGAGTTATTATTATGAGTTATTATGAATTACTTTTTGTCACGTATGTCTAGAAAGACAATGAAAAGTGTTTTGTCACCATATTTTGGTGCCATTTGAGATACAAAAAGATCAAAAAGAAATTACATAAAAAAAGCTCATCTTCTGTACAAGGGATCTTCAAACCCAGCTCCAGAACTTCTGCAAGGCCTCTGTAAGTTGTCCTTAGTCTCGATAAGGCTCCACATTTTAGGCCTACAGCAGCCAGGAGTCTCTGGTCCGGGCACAACCACCGCCACAACTGATGACCCGCCAAGAATCGCTGCAGACAATAACCTGCTGAATCCACACTTCAGGCCTATCGCAGCCAGAAGCCCTCACACCAGGCACTGCCACTGCTGAAGCCAAAGACCCACCAAGTCTCCGGGCTTACTGTAGCCAGAAGTCCTTGCTAATTGGCCAGGTTGGATTAGTGCTGCTTTTTTATGGATGTAACATACCTGAGCAGTTTTCCACAATGCCAGGTTGAGGCCAGTGTAGCAGTTGTATTGAACAACTTGGCCAGGGATTCATCTAATTCTCCAAATTAAACCTTTACTGCTATTTCTGGATTATTTATCGAGAAGATGAGAATTTTAATAATGTTAAACAAAACAGAAATATAAACATTTACATACCTTAACTGTACATTGGGTCCATTCACTATATTGCCATCGATAGCAAGGTTTGATCAAGCATGGTTTGGACTGTTCCAGCTGCATTATACATGGCCTTCCATCTCCCTGGAATGGCTGAATCAGTGTTCTCTTGCGGGTCATTACTCCTGAAGAAAGAAATCACAGATGTTACATTTGCTTGGTGATGAGAAACTGATTTGATCCTCCCACTTATTTCTGTAAAACATATTGTTAAAGGGCAACTATAAAATTAAAGTCCTAAAATATATGTGTATATCATTGTTCTGTTAAGAAAACCAGAAGCATGCTTTTCTACACAAATAATGATTAAATAAACCAGATTTTCAGATGTTCCTTCCTTCACTTTCTTTTCTGGTTAAAGGAAGAACAGCTTTATCTCTTAGGATGGACATTAGGGAGCAGTTATCAGGTCACATATTTGTAAGTTCAGCTTCTAAACTGTGAGAGCATGACAAATTACAACTACAAAGTGGTTCCCTAACACTGGATTAGGATTATTTAATTGTTTCAGCATATTGTTTAACTAATAAATTATTGAATGTGTATGACCCATTTATATAATGTGTTACATATGTAAAATACATGTATTTTGCATATATAAATACAATGAAAACTCCTTTATCTGCTTTAGTCTATGGTAACATTTTTTATGCCTGTACATGGTTCTTTGATAGGCCTCAACAAAATTAATAGACCTATAGATTATCATTATCATTAGCTGTATAAACCCACTACAGTTAATGGACTCTAGTCCACTGACAAGTTGTCATTACAAAGGCACAATGGTAGTATAGGAAACTTTTTCACCTTAATTGGAATTACAATCTTGTGCTTCAAAACAAAAAAGTTAAAAAAGAATGTGGTTGAGAAAAATAACAACTCACCACCTCTACTTTTAAGTGATAATATACAACCATTGCATACATAAATATTTATCCCCAATGTTTTTTTGTGTTGTCATAGATTCATGTTACTGTAAATGCTAGAATGTAACTGAATGATAAGTTAACCAAACAACTTGCTTGGTTACCTGTAAGACCACATGACTGAGAACAAGCAGACCAGGCCGACCAGTCAGAGAACTGACAATTCACTGGACACTCCACAGCACACGATGAATTCATCTGCCACGATTTCTCTAGACCCAGCTGTTAACAGAAGCATAGAGAACTTTCAAGTATGACAACTGAAAAGAAAGGCATCTATACAGATATGAATTATTTTATTTTAGTTTTCTTCATGTCCTTTTTTTTCAAAACAGACCTTTGTGCTCCTACTTTTGCAAAATGATGACCTAGGCACAGTGAATGTTTATATATTGATCAGATTAGAGAACAAGTGTGTGGAGAAAACCCTCCCAAATTTCATTCCACTAATTTAATTGCGGCAAAATTGAGTGGGCACTGACCTATATTCTGACCTTGCTGATTTTATGAAAATTGTTTTGGCCAAATAAACCACTGTAGCTGGACACAGATGTATTGCTTCTACATCTGTATCTTACAATATGCAACACACCTAATTTACAAGCCATCAACCTATGCTAAAATGCATATGTCTGCTCTTTTTATCAAACTCTGTCTTTAAAGCAACCTCCAAGGGTTATTTCTGGTACTAACTCACAATGCACTAGCTACAAATGGAAGATCAATGAAAATTAATAAACAACAAAATCAATTATTACACCCAATTATTTCTCATAGAGGGTATGACAAAGACAATTAGACAGAATGTTTTAAAAGCATGTGTATTAAAATAAACAGAAACTGTGCTAAAACAGCTTCATTCTAATTAGGATCAGGAAATAGCCTTGCATAATGGTCGTTACCCTTTCTGATGTGTCTATCCATTTATTTCTTTTCACACCTATTTAGAAGACAGGGGCAGGAAATGTGGTTATTCACATCCATGTGATAAATCTACAGCAATAATGTTGATAACATTTGTCTTTTGAGGATTTAATGTACTTCCAGGATTCAAAATAAAACATATTATCAATTGTACAATACTGCAAAATGCCATTTTATGACATGTTTATTAAAAAAAGTGAAAAATGCCCAATCAACTGGACAATTGTTATCCTGCACGATGTCTCCGAATTAAGCTAAAAAGCTATAATTGCACTTTTCCTCTCTGTCACAGAAATTTTATTCACGAAGTGTTAACCAGCACGAGTATTGAGCATCATGCTTAATAGCTTAATAGGATGCAAATTTGTTATTTGCTTTTCGTTTTGGTTAGCATGAACATCACATTTGTGTATTTTTTTATGTTCAAATATCTAAAAAGATTTATTCAGCCAATTTCAGCAACAACCATTTTCCTTTAATCAGTCCTTGCTAATTATTTTGCCTTTTACATTGAAAGAAAAAGGGTTATGTTTGTGGGAGGTCAGTCATTTCATTCCCACAATGTCATTGAAGGAGTTTCTTATAGAAGTGTCCATCCCATAAGGTCAGAAATGGGAATATTCACTGATGATTGCACAATATTCAGTACTATACACAATTGCTCAGGTACTGAAGCAGCTTGTCTATATGCAGCAAGACTTGCACGATATCCAGGTTTGGGCTGACAAGTGTGATATGATAACATTCATATCACACGATTGCCAAGCAGTGATCATCTCCAATGAGATTCGAAACACTGTTGCTTGACATACAGTGGCAACAGCATTGCTGCGTTCTTTATTATCAACACTGTTACTGTTGACCAAAGACTGAATTGGACCAGCCATATAAATACTATAGCTACAAGAGCACGTTAGAGAGTAGGAATTCTGTGGTATAAAACTCACTTCTGCCTCCTCAATGCCCGTTCATCATCTACAAAGGCATAGGTCATATGCAGTGGAATACTCTTCGGTTGCCTGAATGATGTAGCTTCAACAACACTCAAAAAGCTTCATCGAAGCAGCCCACTTGATTCCCATCCCACTCACCACCTTAAACATTCATTTCCTTCACCACAAAGGCATAACGGCAACAAGTGTATCTGATTTCCATAATGCATGGTAACGACGCACTCAGGGTCCTGTGATAGCATCCTTCCAAACCTGCCACACACAATTCTGACTTGGAATTATATTGCTGCTTCCTCACTGTCACTCATTTGGTAAACCCTAGGATTCCTTTTCCTAACAGCATTGCAGTATATCTGCCATGTTAATGATAATGGTCAATTGTTTGTAAGAGATAGATTAACTCCATGGGTTAGTTTATATAAATTAGTAAAATAAATTACAAGTAATGAAGCAGGCCTTATAGCAACTAATTGATTTGTGTCTGCAGATTACAGACTCACAGCAGGCTAATTATCATGCAGAATAGCTAAATCTTATATACATGGCCCATGGAAACTTTAAAATGAATTTTCTTAAAGGCAAAGTACACATACAACACCACTCTCCTTTCCAAAACAAAGCTTAATTTCTGATATGCCAATGCATTTCTATAACATATTGGGACTTTGACTGGAAGGGTGATTGATTGTTACAGTCGTTCTTGATAATGACTAGATATTGACTAGATAGGCTTGATATGGACTAGATTTGAAGTTCCAGAATTTGCTGATCCTCACATATTACAGCCAAGTTTTGATCCAGATTAGCCACTGACTTGCTCTGGAAGTTGTCAAGTGGTTCAAATCTTTGGGCACAAAATACTATGCAAGGACTGAGAGAAACACTACATAGGCCAAACTGGAAGAAAACTGACAATACAGATACATGAACACCAACTAGTCACCAAGAGACATGACCAATTCTCACTTGTCTCACTACACACGGACAATGAGGGACATGAATTCGACTGGGACAACACATCCATAATCGCACAAGCCAAACAGAGACACACCAGGGAATTCCTGGAGGCCTGGCAGTCCAACCAGAATTCTATCAACAAACACATTCAATTTGACCTTGTGTTTAAACCACTGAGAAACAAAACTGGAATACCAATCACCCCAGCAAACTGAGGCATATAAATAACAAGCGGGACAGAACACCGTCGCTTCACCGGGGTGCACTGATGACGTTGCCTAGCAGGGTGACGAAACATTTGCAATCAAACCCTCTGGCTCGGTGAGCATGTCTCTAACCTCAGCCACAATCTGAGGTACAAATCTTCTTGAAAACTTTTGACAAGGGGAGAATTTGCAAACTCCATATAGAAAGTCACCCAAGGCTGGAATTGAACCTGAGTCCCCTGCACTGTGTATGATATTTTGATTCTGCCTATTGTTGATCTGCACTGGGTCAGCAAGCTGCTTAACTATTACATGCACAATAAGTAATGTCTACTTTATAACTTATAATGTGTTTTATCGTTTCATATAACATAACATTACAGAGTTGACTCAGAAATCAGAAACTCAAGCTGCAGTAAACAATTCAAGAAACATTCATAGATTTGAATATGTCTTTTTCCAATCCTTCATGGGAAGTATGCATTGCTAGTTAGGCCAACATTTATTGTTCATTCCTTGTTGCCTTTGAGGTGGCGATGAGCTGCCTTTATGAATCACTACAGTTCAAATATAAATGGCAAGTTTCACTGTCTGCTTCAATGGTGGAGTGAAAATTTCACCTCTCTATTGTGGAGAGAAAAATGAAAGTTCAAGGGGACAGTACTGAACAACTAGCTCTGGTTCAATCAAAATCTGAAAATATAATTTATGAGATGATGGTGTCTTTAGTGGATACCTCTGCTTAGCTGACAATGGTGAATGAAGAGTGGAGAAAGAAAGTAAGCAGGATGAATTGCAAGCTCTATTGTAAATCCAATGGAAAGACTGTCAGCATCCAGGAAAATCTGGAAAAACCCACATGTAAAGCAGATCAGACTCAGCAGGAGCAGCTACAGAAATAATGGCTCAAGTGCAAAGTATTGCTGGAGAAAATGGCAGACCTATAAATAGTTGTAACTGCACAGCAAGCTAAACAAAGAGCTGCAAATCACACAAGTCAATTCTTTCACAAATAAATGCTTGAAGCCATACACTCATGGAAGAATTCAAGCAAGACATAGAGGAAAACAATCAATAAGGCCATTCATACATACAATAGGATATACACCACTAGGACTGCATTAGTTCAAGAAGGCAGCTCATCACCATCTTTCTAAAGGCACTTTAGCATCAGTGGGTGACACAATGATTGAAAATCCAATGTAGTGGCAAGTAACAGCTTCATGTTTTGGTTGCTACAATGTACTGAGATTGAATAAATGTGGATAATGTTCCTTTGGTGATTGAACTGATGCATACTGCTTTATTCTGGGTGCTTCAGCCATTTTCTGGTAACACTTTGTCTCAAAAGAAGGGAAAGTTGTGGTTGGCAACGCAGATCATGCTGGATACCTGTCAATACTCCACCCAGTCTGGTCGCCAAGTAGCCTCCTAGAACCTCCATACCCACATTACCTCACACTACCCTCATTCCAACCCATCTACCCTACGTGGAGACCCACTACATTGGCACTTCATATCAAGACACAGGAACAAAAGCAGAAGTTGCTGGTAAAGCTCAGCAGGTCTGGCAGCATCTGTGAAGAAAAAGTCAGAGTTAACGTTTTGGGTCCGGTGACCCTTCCTCGGACCAGGGTTCTGAGAAAGGGTCACCAGACCTGAAACGTCAACTATGATTTTTCTTCACAGATGCTGCCAGACCTGCTGAGCTTTTCCAGCAACTTTGTTTTTGTTCCTGATTTACAGCATCTGCAGTTCTTTCGGTTTTTATGTCAAGACACAACATGCTTTGAAGGACTCTGTACTATCCAGGAAAATTCCCTTTGAATACTTCATACTAAATATTCATTTGTTACACTGGTGCATATGGACAAATATGGAGCAGGAATAGGCCGTCCAAAATCTTGAGGTGGCTCTGCCATTCAATAATATCATGGGTGATCTGATTGTAACCTCAAATCTGCATTCACACCTACCGCAGTAACCTTTCACTCCCCTTGCTTAACAAGAATCTATCTACTGCTGCCTTAAAAATATTCAGGGATTCTGCTTCCACAACCATTTCAGGAAGGGTTTCAAAGACACTAGACCCTCAGAGAAAAATGTTGACTTCATTGCTGTCTTAAATGGATGATGGTTGATTATTAAACGATGACCTCTCGTTCTAGATCCTCTCACAAGAGGAAACATTCTCTCCGCATTTACCCTGTTAAGATACATCTGGATCTTTTACATTCAACCTGATTCATCTAAACTCCAGCAGGTACAACCTAGTTTTTCATTACGTTTAATGCTATAGAACTAAAAAAGAAAGTTATCTTTGCTGCAAATTGAAAACATAACACACCGTTATTTTCAGGGAGAGGAGAGTTGATATGCTGCAAACACGTGTGGCCATGATAACCTGGAACATGGGGGTCCTGCTGAATTTAACTTTCTTGGTCAATTTCTTGCCAGATTTCCTCTTGTGGAAGAATCTAGAACGAGGTGTCATCGTTTAAAAATAATGGTCACACATTTAAGACAGAGATGAGGACTTTTTTTTCTGCTCAGAGATTGAGAATCTTTGGAATTCACTTCCTCAAAAGGCAGGGGATCTAGAAGTGTTAATTTTGTTTTTGGGCAGAGATAGATAGATTCTTGATTACCAAAGAGATGAAAGATTATAGGGAGTATTTGAGGGATAAAACCACTGCTTTTCTGTTCTGTGTTAAACTTGTCTAAAACCTTGGTTAGACCACACTGTACAGAGTTCTGGTCTCTATGTTCTGAAGGAATCGGCACACAGAGGCACAGTGGTTAGCACTGCTGCCTCAAAGCGCCAGGGGCCTGGGTTCAATTCCAACCTCGGGCTACTGTCTGTGTGGAGTTTGCACGTTCTCCCCGTGTTTGCGTGGGTTTTCTCCGGGTGCTCTGGTTTCCTCCCACAGTCCAAAGATCTGCAGGCTAGGTGGATTGGCCATGCTAAATTGCCCATAGTGTTCAGGGATGTGTAGATTAGATGGGTTATAGGGGGATGGGATGCTCTGAGGGTTGGTGTGAACTTGTTGGGCCGAAGGACCTGTTTTCACACTGTAGGGATTCTATGATGATTCTATGTAGTAATATGGAGTTGAGACTCAAATCAAAACAGCCATGATCATATTGAAAGGTGGAGCAGATGCAAAGGGCCTCCTCTTGTTCCATATTTGTATGATTATATGATTGAGAGGCTGTTCAGCCTGCATCTATGCAACAGAGAAGGAGGAGAGATTGTGGGGATAGGGAAGTGGGAGCGCTGGGGAGGATATCGCCGGTGTTTATTGAGATTGTGGCTGGGTGGGTAGATGAGACACAGGGAGAATTGCTCATCTCAACAGGCTGGTGGGAGATAGGGTGGTGTTGGGAGGGTTGCTGGGGTGGTGGTGTGGTAGTGCGACGCAGATGCAGGGAGGAAGGACACAAGTTATGCTCCAAAACTACTTAAAAACTCTTTACTGCTGCCTCCTCTTGTCAGTTGTCAGTTATCTCAAATCCTGAAAAATCCTCCCTACATCCACTAATTTGAAAAGCTTGTTAAAATCTGATGCAAGCAGCCTCATTAACATGTTGAAAAACTGACATGTCTCTCAAGAGTATGTTGCTTCGCTTCACCCTCAACTGCTCCAGTTAAATTAAAAGTGGGCATAATCCTGGTGAGTTGTGATCAGCTTTCAGATTTTTATAGCTTTAACTTCACGTTACACTCCCCCTTCCCCACCAAATACCTGCTTGTTTCGAAGGGTATCAATCCCACCTGTCAATTTGATATTTGCTTCAAACAAACTCCAGTTAGCTTGGTTTTAGCAAAACCAGCTCCATAAGAACATTAAAAATGTACACATCTTTCTTTATCTTCATGAGAAAAGAGATTTGACAAGAGATCGATTTAAGTAATACTGAATAGCATGGAAGTGGTTCAGAAAAATGATCAGTGTTAGATGAGGAGATGAAGCATTCTAATTGAACAAGCTATTCGACCAGGAGGAGGACTATTAACATGTGACATACTTGTTTGCAGAACTTAAGATCAACTGACTTCCCATCGCTGCGAACACAGTCCAACATTCTTGTTTTAATTCCATTTCCGCAGACTGCTTTATCACTCAGCTGACAAGTGCTCCAATCTATAAATTGGAATATAATTAGCTGTCACACAGAATACTTAACAAGCAAGTAAATAAAAGGATTTGTTAACTAGAGTTTCAATTAGGCAGTAATCAAAAAGCAAAATACTGTAGATGCTGGAGAGCTGACATTTAAACAGAAAACGCCCGAAATACCTAGCAAGTCATCTTGCTTTTTTTAAGGATTTAATTCCATTCTAGCAGTTCCTCCATCTCCATTGCATCTATTCCAACAATGAATCTCCTACACCACTAATTCTTAGATGTCTTCTTTCTGCTCCAACTGAGGATTCCCATTCCAGCATAGTTAACAAGTCCCTCAACCATGTCTGTCCTTCCCTCTTCCCTTCCTTTTCAGAACCAAGGTAAGGTTCCCCTTGTCTTCACAGTCCACCTGATCAGCCTCCATCTTCAAAGGATCATTCCAGCCATTTCTACCACATTAAGTATTTTGCTGTTTTGGTTGTTTCGTCATCTCAATTACATTTGTATTCTGCTAACATTTACATATGTGGTTAACAATGTGATAATGATCAGATAAATTGATCGTTTATAATACTGATTGCGAGACAGGCTTTGATCAGGACTCTGGGGAGAACTTCCCTGGTCTTCTTTGATTAGTGCCTTTTATCGCATCTTTTTACTGGGGACACCAAAGAGCAGATTGAGCGATTGTTTAGCAGAACAGCACAGCTCTATCTACAAGCATGACCCCAAGCTTCTAACGCCCTGTTATTTGAATTTTCCACTTTACTTTCACACTGCCATGTCTGTCCTCAGATTAGTGTTCCTCTGAGGCTCAATGTAAAATTAACACTATCAAATATCTACCATGCACTTTACAGCCTTCTAGACTCAACATCAACAATCTCAAACTAAATCTCTGCCCCCATTTTGTTTCCATTTTTTTGCTTGTTTGCTTTTCCTCTTACTTTTGCTTTTGTCCAGCAAAACACTTGATCTGGTCACATCTTTTGTTTCTGTTTTGTTTTTGTTACACCATTATAACCTTGAGGAGGACTAACAGTTCTGTCACTTAATCTTTCCTGTCTTCCACTCTATCACAAATTTTCTTTTTGTCCTTGCTTCATCCATTTTTTGCACTATACCTAATACCTCCATAACACTTCTGGGTTCTGATGAAAATTCATCAACCCAAAAACTCTGTTTCTCTCTCCACAAATACTGCTTGACTTGCATATTTCCAGCATTTTCAATTTTTATTTCCAAATACGTCGTGTTTATTTTACTGAGTTGATAGGCCTTTCAGTGACAAAAATGATGTAATGTAAAAAACAAACAAGAGGTAGGTTATCAACATCTCTAGTGGCATGTGGCACACCTCAGATTCTGGATAGTATTCCCAGATCATCCCTGAAGTGGCTATTTCTGGATTTGCAGCTCATCAATTTTCTGTCAACAGGTTTAGTATTCAGCCTCTAGGTCAGAACTGAAGAAAATCATTTAGCTTGTCTTTGTTCCTGAAACAGAGAGTGTACTGGGGGTTCTGGATACCTGAGGTTTACCCAGAACTGAGCCTCATTACTGTACTATCAGTGAGCTGCAGAAGCTGCTCAGGCATTTTGTTGATTCCAAAGGAAGAGCTTGGGCTGGCAGCAGGGCTATGGTAAGTTCTGAGAAGGTAAACCTGGAATAAAGTGTACCCAAACATTAAAACTGACAGGGATTTAGCTGTAAGTTAGGTCTTCCCTTTCCATTGCCTTGTTATTTTTCTCCTACTACTTTGCAATCTTTAAACACAAGTGTAGCACAGGGTGAAAGCTATTAGCCCCATTAATTCTCTTCCACAGGTCACTGAACAACCAACAGACATGATCACAAAACAGATACAGGGAATTAATTTTAAACGTGGCATTTTTAACATTACATTTTAATTAACTGCATTGTCCTCAGCGAAATGTCCCACATAGTTTGTGTTTAAGATTTTTACCCCCAAAGGCTATGCAGAAAAAAGGAAACCTCAGTTACCTGTTACGTTATACATGAAGTGAAAGCAATTCTTGTTTAAATGGCAGGGCTCAGTCTCAGTTTCAGATGGACAGGGTTTCCCTTCTCCTGGTTGCCTTAATGGGATAGCTGACCGTTCTCGAACAGTGCTAACGTTGCACGGCTGAAATAAAAACATGAATGCACTTATACACAGATTAAGGCAAGATCTCTTCATACAGGCTGTCTGTCCACATCTGGTTGTACAAGTAAATAAAAATAAAAATTAGGAGAGATGTGAAGGAGCACCTGATGTGCAATCAGACATTTTACATTTTTGCATAGTCAAAAATAACCCCAAGGTTTCTGTTCAATGAAGGTATTATTCAAGAAATTGTTAGATCATAGATCATAGATCATAGAACCCCTACAGTATGGAAGCAGGCCCTTTGGCCCAACAAGTCCACACCAACCCTCAGAGCATCCCACCCAGACCCATCCATCATAACTCACCTAATCTACACATCCCTGAACACTATGGGCAATTTAGCATGGCCAATCCACCTAGTCTGCACATCTTTGTGCTCTTAATTAGTTTAATGGGTTTTGTTAACACTATTTCACAGGACTTGTTTCATTTTTAAAATTGTGCTGTATTATTTTCACAAATTAATACATCATAAGCAAAAGTGATATCATTACTTTAACATGCTTCAAGTAAATTACCATGAAAACCAGGTTTGTTCACAGATTAAAGGTTTCTGCAGGTACAATATTCAATGCAGTCAGTTACCATCATCTTACCAGAGGACACTTGCTCCAGGATGTCCACTCAGACATAACACAATCATCAGGGCATGGTAGCTTGCATTGCCTGGAACCTAGGGGCATTTCTTCTGGATCACACAGGTAGTCTTCAACAGGTTCAATGGGACCATCCATTGTATTCTGCATGCACCTAAAGTCAAAAAAAGCGATTTAGTTTGACACGCACTTGAATAAGAAAGGCTCAGCTTTGCTTAGGTCAGCGCATTCATTTGTTCAAACCCTCAAATGTTAAATGAAAATCGTTAAGTGACTTCTTATCTTCTATATGAAAATTAGCTTTGGTCCTTAGCTTTCTCTCAACCAGAAAACTGCTGTTGCCTAGTTACAGAAGCTTCTCTACTTTTGTGTATTTTTATCAGAATTCAGTTGACTCTTGCAAGTCCAAAAATATTATGCATGTCTATCCATGGAAATTTCTTTGGCAGCTTTTGCTGTTTGACTATTAAAGCAATTAATCTCTTTGGAGGGCATATATCAGAACTGGAAGTACTGGGAGGCATTTTACCTTGATGACTCACTAGTTGGGTTTGGGGTTGGGGTGATGAATGGTTGGGTAACAAGTATAAAACCCAAAAATAAGAGTAGTGTATCTGTCAGTGGTTCTTTAACCTGACACTGCATCAGTACTCCTGGGTTTCTTGATCAATTAGGTTGAGTAGTTGTTGTGCTAACCTGCATAGATCCATTTTGGATCCAGTAGGGGCATCACAAAAAAAGAGAGTTGATGGATAGATGAACAAAAGAAGGAACAGTTACAATCATAAAATCCCTACAGTGTGGGAAGAGGCCATTTGGCCCATCAAGTCTACACCAACCCTCCAAAGAGCATCCCATCCATACGCAGTCCCCCCCTCTCTATCCCAGCAACCCCACATTTACCATGGCGAATCCACCTAGCTTGCACATCCCTGGACACTATGGGACAATTTAGCATGGCCAAACCAACCACATATTTGGACTGTGGGAGGAAACCGGAGTACCCAGAGTTAACCCACACAGACATGGGGAGAGTGTGCAGGCTCCACACAGACAGTCACCCAAAGCTGGAATTGAACCTGGGTCCTTGGTGCTGTTATGTAGCAGTACTAACTACTGAGCCACCATGCCACCCCAATGGAGTCCCAACACTCCTCACATTAGCATTGCCTCCCACAACATGATGCTGGTGGAATATGAGGGCCCATAGGGAGATATCATTTCTTACTCATAGATGAAGAGGTCTGTCAGTGACAGCAGGAAAGAATGGCTGAAAGTTACTCAGGATGAGGTGAGTAGCAGGGGTGTGATACTACAACTTCTGCCTTCTCAAGCCTACTCTGACAAATCATTGTTCACAGCAACATCAGGTTCGGCCATCACTCTCTGTCGATGCAGTTCCTTACATCCTATCTGCCTATTCACTACTAACACTCATCCACATTTTTGTGCAATGCCACCTTGCTACCTCAGAGTCACCCTCACAAATGCTTTCCATCCATTTTTTCAACACGTTCCATTTCATATATTCATACATCTCTTCCTAGGAAAACAGAGAATAGAACACAAAGGAGAGGCAGAATACAGGAGGTGGCTCACCTTCAATTTTATACTGAACATCTGGAGCAGAAGGCACTGGAGATTAGTGATATCTTGAATTGAATGCTTTAGAAATGGCTAGATGGGGCTCTTGCTAATGGTCTTCACAAATACATTCCATATTCAACGAAAAACAATGAAACTTTAGCCTTAGCATTTAATTGTCTCACTGATCTCCTTGTGTACTGATGGTTGACTCTGCACTTAGAGGTGCCGGTTGTGTAGTCTTTGACCCACATGAGCTTCAAAGCCAGAAGATATTGGTCAAAGGAATTCCAGCAGTGACAGCAGAGATCTGAATAGCCTGTCACGATTTTTATTGACGCAACAGGGGTTGCGTTACACACAAGTGTTAAGAAAGAAAAGACTTACAGAAGCATATGCACAAAGGTATGCTATACAATGTTCAATTATTGCTGAAAAGAGAGACTTGTTGTCAAATCTTTTCATCATGCACTCAGAAGATAAACACGAAAAAGCCAAATTTCAAGCGACCAGAACAATTTAAACACAAGTGTCAGATAGGTTGAAAGAAATCAATGGGGAACTATAGGTGTCCCCAGCTTTCACCTAATTCAAAACAATCGTAAGGTTTGGATACACTTCTTGTTAAGGTCCCCGCGTATGAATATATGTTGTTTCTCGCAAGTGAAAGTGAATCATGTTATAAGTTTCAGAGATAGTAGGAACTGCAGATGCTGGAGAATCTGAGATAACAAGGTGTAGAGTTGGATGAACACAGCAGGCCAAGCAGCATCAGAGGAGCAGGAAGGCTGACGTTTCGGGCCTAGACCCTTCTTGCTATTCAATCAGGAATCACAACTAACAGCCGACTTTGTTTTGGGGCTTTACAGTCTGTTCTCTGCCAATTATGACCAACCAAAGAAATACACTGCTTGATTTAATCAGCCAGTCACTGGGATGTCTGATCTATTTACCTGGCATTTCCCCAAAACTAAAATTCAGACATAACATTGTGTGATAAACAGTACGTCTCACTGGACTGACAGCAACAGCCTGTCATTAGAAAATGCCAATCATATAGCAGCATGAAGGATAGAAGCAGCGTGAAATTAACAACTTTTCCAACCATTTGGCACTTCTTTCTCCTTTAGTATAAATTATTGTGATCATCTGAAACTTAGCAATCTTGCATTTGTCTTGTTGAGTGTAAAACAAAAAGCTGTGACAACCAATGTCTCTTTATAGCAATATTCAAGCTCTTTGCTACCAAACAACTGAACATAATGTTTCTGTTTCACATTTGAGCGCAGAAATATTTGTCTCTAACACTTTCCTGTTTTGTCTATTGTTGATTACTATTGCTTAAGTGGCTATTCACTTGTGACTAATGATAAGACTTCACTCTAAACAGTAGAAGGGGAATGATTGATAGTCATAATACTTTGTGTTCGTGAAATGTGAATTACATGTTATTCAGTACTTGGCTGTCAGATAAATGGCTTTCGGAACCTACCTGAAGTTTACCATCCCATGCATCAGGGCTCATGTTGAATTATTTGTTGTATCACATCCCTCCTTCTCCTACATAGAGACTTTGTCCTTTGAGACTGGCCCCTTCTAAAAGGCCAAACATTGTTGCACTGCAATGGTGTGCAAAATACAGCACATCATGTCAATTTGGGAGATCATGGACAAGGCATTTTAAAGGGAACCTCAGATCTAGCCAAGCACTGGTGCACATTTGCAATATGCCAATTGCTTGCTCCTTGACACATCTGGTTGTCCTGTGCCTTTTATTGTTTCATTTCAGCGGCTATGGCTCATTGTTTAGGTTTCTCAAGGGTATCAAAAGCCACATTGCGTTTTAAGTGGAAATGTATTTTGTCTCCAAGTAAGCAACTGGAAATGCTTCTTTAAGGTGGAAAACATTTTGCAGTTGAACACCTGACACACATTGATGAATGGCAAATCCCTGTGGTTGTCAAACACTCCTGAGTAATCTAAGGATGAATTCACTGCAACATGCGTGTAGAGAATATTGCCCAGCATCTGTGAAAACCAGCCAGTATTGCAAACCTGAATGCACACTCATTCTGGTGAATGTAATTGATGAAAAAGTCCATATAATTGCTAGCCATGCCAAACATGACATCGGTCACTTATGTAATGCACCGATTAAAAGCTGATTGCACAATTCTACAAGCATGTGACAGAGCCCTGTGATGAACCAATGAGGAACCAATGGAGAATGGTGGTAACTTTGACAGCCATGTGTAAATTGTGCTCACCAGGCTGCAAATGACTTCCAACTACCTGACATGATATCTGAGCCTCCTGAGATCCTGTTGTTCTAACACAGTAAGGACGTGCATCTTTCGTTGGCACACACACCATGTCCCTGGTATTGTCTCTTTGGAGCTATACCTCTCTGTTTGTCCCCTCTCTCCTGTAAAGTAGCAAGTCTGCAACAGAAAAGCTGCTGCTGATCTTGCTATTCCTGCTGCTTATCATCTTTATCCTCATCTGAGGTCCAAAACAAAACAGCATAAGGGCCCCTCCTAATCTGAAAGTCCAGAGCTCATGTGGAGATTAGATAGGAATTTCCAAAGTTGCAGAAGTCATCCCAAAATTAGTAAGAGTAAATTCTCAAATAAAGTACTGTACAATTACAATTACACAAAACTAGGCAAAGAAAACACCTATAATGTCCTAGCACATATCGGAATATATGCCTGTCATTTCTTCAGTCCTATTAATTGCTGTTGTGTTATCTTGATTTTACTGCTAATCTCCAGGGAACTGGGGAGTCTGTGCACCCATAGTTAAATTGCACAACCGAGTTAAAATAGTTCTTAATGAGCTATTAACATATTGAAATGAACGATCCCTCTGCCTGAGGGAATTATTCTCAGGCAGCCTATTGCAATGCAGTTGATTGGGAAAATTCATGTGATGCAACCAGCTTTCTACCATGCTGTCAATGTATTGTAAATTTCCTTTTAAATTCCAAATGTTCTCAAAACCACTCACTACTACAAATAAAAATGACACCCCTGTGTTTCAAGATCAGCATGAGATCTATTAATTTCATCTGAAAACTGAACTTGCTCTTGTAGCATTTTGCGATCAGTAAAATTAAAAATACCTCCCACTATTCTGTATCCAAGTAATTGATAAATATGGGGATTAAGCTCCCAACAGTGTTCCCTGCAGTATTATAGAACATAGAACAGTACAGCACAGGAACAGGTTCCTTGCTCTACCATGTCTGGGCCAACTAATCCCATCTGCCTATACATGGTCCATATCCCTCTATTCCCTGCCTGTTCATGTGTCTGTCTAATTGCCTCTTAAATATTGCTATTGTGTTGGTTTCTACCACCTCCCCGGCTGTGCGTTCCAGATACCTATCACCCTCTGTGTAAATAAACTTGTTTTGCACATCTCCTTTAAACTTCTCACCCTCTCACCTTAAACCTTTGCCCCCCAGAATTTGACATTTTTACTCTGGGAAAAAGACTCTGACTAATCACCCTATCCATGCCACTCATACTTTTATATACTTCTATCAGGTTGCCCCCCAAGCCTCAA